CAAGTCACTGAATAGCATTAAGGGAAGACTAATATTTTTTAACCAACTCCTCAAAGAAAATTGAAAACAGTGGCTAAAATCTCAAATTTGGAAATTAAATACATTAAGCAATTTTTTCTCGTATGGGAGTCGAACTTTTTTGTTTTACTTTTCAAAATTAGTATAAGCATTTATAAAACATAATTTTAGGGACTGGCAGACCATATAAAAATTTTTATTAAAAATTTAAATTTTTAATAAAAATTTTTAAATTTTTGCAAAACAGATTTAAAAGCCGAAACATGAATATTTCTATTATTTAAAACATTTTCATATTTGGTAGTATATGTCTAAAACTGGAAACAGCTGGTTGCAGAAATAAAGCCCACATGAGGACTTTATGTAACTATTTTTAAAAAAAGCACCTACATGCACGCATCATACATTTTGGACAATTGTAGCACATCTTTATACAATATGGAGGAGTGGAGGTAAAATTATGTGCTAATCAATCACTTGTGCACACATGTAAAAAGTGTATGTGTGTGTATATATATGATATATAGGAATTTGTAGCTGAGGATGATAGCAATGAAGATTTTTTAATAAAATTCATTTGAAAAAAGGAATGCTACCATCTTTATTCACCCTCATCTGATATGTTAAATTTGAGTCTCTTTGATTTGGGGAAAAGGGAACAAATGTAAGGTATTTATGCATTGAAAATGGGTACTGACATATTCATCTGCTGAAACAAATCCTTTACATGCCAGCATAAATAACAAAAACTGTGAACAAATAAATTAAATTTGTAGCATCATATACTCATTCTATTTCAAACTTATTTACTAACTGCGCTTGGAATACTAACCCACTTGACAGGAATTCCGATGAGGCAGGATGTGCACTATATGTTTTGCTTATATGATATTCAAACATAGGGCATGTTATATTACTGCAAAATAAGGGAACAATAAAAACCCTGTTATAAAAAGAGATTTTATTTACACTTTGACATAATGCATTTTATGATAAACAAGAAGTATATAAACTTACAAATACAAAACAATTTTCATGTAATGTGACTTGCACAGTATGAAATGAAAAAATATAGCAACATGTTATATGCTTCTTATACTTTATAAAGTTTATTGAGTATTTGTTAAGAATATTTTAATAGAAAATAAAATAAGTTTAATAAAAAAAAAGGTATATGTAAACTATGAAGTTTATGTTATCAATATCATAGGTAGTTAATATTGAGTTTTATATTTTTTTTAGCAGGTACACACAAATAGCATTAAATGTTAACCATTCCATCTCCCTTCTGTGGGATGTCCGGGGTTTTCTCAAATTTCATGTGCAAAAATTTCTTCTGAATAATATCATACTGATGTTGAAATTTTCAAAAATGAAAAATGCCAAGTACTGTTTTGATAAATGTAATTTTTACGTGTGTTTAAGAAAACAAATTCCTGACCAAACGTTTATCAGAAATGGGAAAAGGAAGAAATAAAACTAAGAGACAAAAATATTAAAGGAGTTTACAGGGTCCATAGTAAACTTTTAAGGTAATTATTTGCATTCAAGTGTGGAGTTACATGAGACTATGAAATGATCTGTCTGTAAACAATCTTGATTACATTAACCCGTTGCACTCCAGACGTGACTAAGAAATTCGTTTGTTATCATTAGTTCCCAGAGCAGTGCAAAAGGTTGTTTATATGGAATTTTAATCAAAATTATAAATCCATAAATTATAAATCATTAATTTATGTCAGCAGTGAATAACAAAGGAATATTAATTTATTAATAGCACATTTGTTTTTAACTAAATCATATTAATACCATGCTTTTAACTAAGTCATCATAAAAACAAATAATTTCATCTAAGTTGTACTGCAATTTCATTATTGCTAGGAAAAAAAAAAACATTACACAGAGCATATCGTAATGAAATTGGGATAAAAGACTTGTCAATTATGTGATTAATAAAAATTTGTAAAGTGACTGCCTTCAGAAAATGTATTAACACATTCCTTTTGTTAGAATTTTGAGAGATGAACAAGGTAGCTGATTCTTCTAGCACCGTATGAATAAAAATATCTTTGCTTATATCTTTATGGAATTAACATGATTTCAAAACTGAAAGCTCTTTAGGGGAGAAAGGGCCCACCAGCGGCCGAGCGGTAAAGACGCTGAACACTGGTAGTTTGGTCTGAGGTTCGAATCCCGCGAACGGGCTGGCTGCATGGGCGTTTTCGTGGTTTTCCCCATGTGTAACGTGTATACGAGCCAGTTTCCCTTAGAAAGTCCTCCACGAAAGGCATCCCTCCCTTTAGGCAGATAGCCCTCGTGTGCTTTGCCATAATTAAATACACCTTTAGGGGAGAAAGTGTGGGTTTGCTTTAGTCTTTGTTTGTATGCCTTAAATTCCTGAAAGGAAGGAATATTAAAAGTTTTTGAAGGAAAGTCCATAAGAATCATTTTCATTTCATAATGAATTTTCACATACTGCACACACCAGATTATAGTGAAGCATGTCCGATCAAATAAAAGTTATTGCTTTTTTACCCGTGGGAAAGAGTTAAGAAAACTTATTGAAGCTAAATCTGCAATGAAGCAAGATAAAAAAAACTGATCAATCGTGATATTGTACAGCACCTTATAATTACTCTGAATCTTCATTAAAAATTCCATGATGAGCAGTAATTAACAGGCTATGAACTGTCAAATATCTGTTGATCAAAGAATTTATGTTTCTGTATGGTTTTCAAAAATTTAAAAGAATTTCTGTGTTATTATTCGTGCATTCCACTCATCACCTTCATGCTCAGCCTACAAATGGCATATCTTAAGACAATAGTCTATGTGGAGCCACTTGAATTTCCAAGCCTGTCAAACTCAAGGTGTTTAACTGTATCCATGTTATAAAGTGCATCATTTGCAGCATAGTATATGTAAATCAATTCAGAACTTAATATTATGATACGTAATGGTGAGTATAATCTTAATGCCAGAGTTGGTTTAACCCTTTGATGCGCGCAATATTATTTTTATAATTTTTTAACTAAAAATTCTAGAAATTGAATATTATGATCCTAGAGACAAATATATACGAATAAAAAAAACATCTACTCTTGTCTATTGTTCTGTGGGTGGTGGTCGCACTGTGAAACCACCGCGCGTCTAGGACTTCGAAACTTACTAATGTAGTAGGAAAAAAAAACTTACCCTTTTCCGCACGCGTTTCCAATAAATGACGAAATTTACGGATTTTTTAAAAAAATGTATGTAAGAATTGCATTATATATAATTTTTTTACGTTATTTTACAAAGTAAATCATCAGAAAAAATTAAAAATAAACATTTATGTAATTTTCTGTAGCAGTGTGAAAATATAAGTACCTACATAATAAGGACATTTGGATAGATGGATTAAAAAAACTCAATAAAATAAAGATAAAAAAGAACTCAGTGGTTTTTTTTTTTTTTTAAATTTCAAATAAATTTTTTTTGTGTGACACTGTTCAAAGCATGTTTTGTCTCTTTGGTACATGCATAGACCCACATTGCACGTTTCGCACATACATCTTGCTCTATGAGGTTTCTTCCTTGTGCTACAAAATGTACACTGCGTGGATTTAAATTTCACTGGTATATGTCCAGTGTTATTTAGTTTCTTTTCATCTGGCACATGAAATTTGTGGTTTTTTTATGTTAATGGGGGGGGGCTTGGTCTTTTTGGCTTTGCATGGATCGTTCATTTCCCATTCATACTTATTTTATTCGTATTTCGTCTCAAAATATTCAGAAAATATTTTTAAATAAAACTTACGCAATTTCTATTTTTAATTATAGCAAAGTATATTTACATTAAATTTAAACTACAGGAAATAATTTATAAAATCACAATACTAGCTTGGGGAGCAAGTGTGTTGATGTCAGAGAAAAGTATTTGGGAAAGAAAGACCTTTTTACTGGGCAGGTGCATGTATTGTTTAGTAATAAAATAACTCTGTGGTTTCAAAGCCCTTTATCTATATCCGGGAAAAAATAAACATTCCTTTTTGAAAAGCAAGCGAATGCCATTGAGAAGGAAATGCCAGTGGTTTCAAGGCGCAACCACCAAGCCTCTGGAAGATTGTAAGCATTGTGACACAATGCTCTAGTGGCGCAGTGGTCGCTCCCTGGAACCAGATAGCAAATGCCATACATATAGAGTTTTTTTTATATATGCAGTTTAATTACTCCAATTTTTTATTGTTTATGATAGAAATTATGATGTGTGATGACTAACTTTTGAAATTTAAAGTTTTTTATTTAATAAAAGGAAGTTATTTTGTCTCATCGAAAACGAATTTTAAAAGGCATCCGATCTGAAGTATTAATACCTAAAACATATATGATTCTACAGTCATTTTGTGTTATTTAGATGTAAAAGATCACTAATCAATTCATTTTCACTCAAAAATTTCGGAAAAAAAGAGGAGAAAAAAATTCGGAAAATGGTGGTTTCAGGTCGGGATCACCACGCATCAAAGGGTTAAGTGTTCCACGTTTGACTGGCAAGAACCATTTTCAACACATTTCAGAATCTTGAGCAGAACAACAACGAATTAACTTGCCTACAATCTGGTGAGCCTAGAAGTACGATGATATTCGAATAAGAATAAAAATTCTTTCTTCAAGTGTGTCTGTACCATTACAGTATTGAACACAAAGGTGAAGGCACATTGATTAATACCTCAGGGCAAATGCCTAACTTTAACCAAGATGATGGAAATGCCATCAGATATAGCAGAAATTTGTTTATAATCATGTTTATATAAGAAGAGTGGATTGTAATTGATTTATATTCAATATGTGACTAGTGATATCACAAGTTGAATATATGAATAATGATTATGATAACTAGATGATGCTGTACGATTTTGCATTTGACAGTTTTAATTTATTCCCTTAGTTGCAAGTTAGATTTACTACTCTCTTAATTTTCCATTAGATAGCATTGCAGTCTCTTTCATTTGATCAGGCATTTCCATTTTATTAGATACAACTAATGTGTACAGTATGAGAACTCTTTGTTTCAAAACAAATGCTCTTTTTGAATTTTACTTATGACTTTAAAAGTTTTATTTAAAATAAGCACAGTAATTTTATTTGAAGCTTGGATTTCTAAGTTCATTTTACTTTTATAAGATGTCATTTCACGGCAAAATATAGATCAATGTTAGTTATTTTGGTTGGTTGGATATTAATCTTCTGCATTGCACTCTGTTATCCTGTCTGCTCCATGAAAAACTGATGGAAAATTTTTTTATGAGCTTGATGCAATGTTCATTGATAAAGTATCTCTTGTTCAGTTTAACACTGCAGTTCTAAAAACACAACAGCAATCACACATTTTATGTCTGTTCTTTCTTAGATCTTTATGAATATCGGAAACAAATTTTTTTAAACTTTGAGCAATAGTTGTGTTTCAAGAATATGGCATTGTTCCCATGCTTCAAAGTCATTGCTAGTAAAAGGGCCACCTACTTCACAATATCTACATAGCTTTTTTTTGGTGATGTTGAAGAGGTATGTTGTAAGCTTGATCCTTCCTCCAGGTCTTGCCTAAAACATTGACTGTTTTTTCTACAGCTCTTAGGGCCTGCTCTGTTTTCGCTTTGAAGACCAAAGCTTGCATGGCTGCTATGTGATGACTTGGTTAGTGATGCAGGAGGGCTGTCTTCTACATCAGTTGAAGCAGAATTTTCATCAGAATGGGCATCCTCTTCTTGCTCCAGAACGATAGAATTGCGATGATTGAAACCTATGTCAATACCAAATTTTTCTTTCTTAATATTGTTTTGCATTTCTCGTCCAACTTCAGTTCGAGGTATTGACTTCGGAGTTCCCGTATCCAGAGATAAACTCCTTTTATCTTTGCCTATTCCATCTGGAGAATGTATTTGCATATTTGAGAGGAAATATTTAAATCCTTCTATTGTAGGATAAGTTGAATTTATGGAAACTGTGTTTCGACTGCCATTCAGTCCACAAGGGACATCAAGAGATAAACTTCTTCTGTCTTTGCAGAAATCTGATTTGTCCATGGACTCTTTTTCAGGTAAATCTAAATGTTCCAATTTATCACCGTTATCTGGTGAAAATCTTGAAATTTTAGCATTACATAAATTTCTCACATTGCTGCCAAATTGTTCATTCTGAAAGGGAGCTTTAAATAATTGTTTATCGAAATGTGGGGGTCTCACATTTATATGTGATCCAATTTGCCCATTTCTGAAAATTTCCTTACCATGAACTGACCAAATTCCAGGGCTCTCACATTGTCCCTTTACACATATTTCTCCATCCTGTTGATTCCACATCTGATTATTATTTTTGGCATTCTTCTTAGAATTCCTATGCAGCTTACTTTCTTGTTTCTTCCAGCCTTGAATGCGAGCATTTCTGTCGTTCTGATAGCTTGCTTCATAATTTTTGTGCCGTCTGAGACTACTGGTATCCCGAGAGCTTTTGTGATTTTCCTGTTTACGTTCTTTCCTGAAAAAAAATAAATAAATAAAAAAATAAATAAATAGCAGTTTATAATCTTGTTACCTTTATCACATGAAATCACTCTTTTAATAGTCTTATTAAATGCTTGATGATAATATACATTTTAATGATAAAATATATGTATACATGAGAGCTTCATTGTGATTTTAAAAGAATTTACATGAAGAATAATTTATGTATTATTGATATTTGTTATTCAAATATCATGGATTGAAATGTAGTTACATGTAGTCAAAAGTCTTTAATCCGGACTCGTCGGGACTTCGGCGATTCCGAATTATCGTTTTTTCCGGATTATAGATCATCAATGTAAATCTGGTAAGATGGCATGCAGACATTATAAAATTAAAAATATGAAACCATAATTTATGAAATAAAGAGCAATTATGATCTAAAGGGTATCAAAATTTAGAAAAAAAAGCTTAATATTTATTTGTTTACTTTATTACTTTATTACACATTTCTTTCAATGCGCTTTCGCTTTGTAGATCCTTTGGCAGCTTCAGAATCGGAAATTCTTTTTGACATAATCGAAAGTTCAAGCTTACTTTTATAAAATTGCTCTAACAGTCTGCAAAAAATAATAAGCCGGATCCAATTAGAAGATTAAGGAAGAACGCAATCTGCATCATTAACTTAGCTAATTAGATAATTTTAGCTTAGCTTATATCGTCCGTTATACATTAAACACGCATGCGTAAACGTATTGTGCGCATGCGTCAAAGCATTATGTGTTGACGCATGCGCAGAAAGTTTGTAGCTTTGAGGTCCGGATTATAGATCATTCTGGATTATGGACATCCAGATTAAAGACTTTTGACTGTATTTAGTTTTATTGAAAATAAAAGTCATTATCATGTATAAATTTTACTACTGTTTAGTTCCTGGTGTCTATAAGAAAGAATGCATTTTGAGAAACAGATGATTTTTGATAAAATGTTTTGTCAAAGAATCTCAAAATCAGCTCTTGAAGAAACTTTTAGATTTCTGTAAATCATATTTTTTTGTTTTGTAAATAAATTTATGCAAGGTACTAGTTAGTGGCATCTTTCTGCCTTTTGCAAAATTCTAGTGGACTTATCTATTAAAATCTCTCTATTTGTAACATTTGTGAAAAAGCTTTAAAAGAAATTAGGCTACATAAAAGGATGGACTACCACAGCTAATTTTTCCATAATGTGACATCCATCGAAGAACTTACTTCAGCGATTATAACAATAAGCTTATGTAGGTTACTATTCTCATTCAGTTTTACTTTTTAATTTGCTAATATCAATCATAAATTAGTTTTTGTTTCAAACAATGATCTGTATTCCTGGAGGTTAGTTTATGTTATTTGCCACAAATTATACCATAAAATGCAAAATATTAAATATTTTTAAGGTATTATCACCTTTGCTCACTGGTAGCAACCCCGACTAGTAATTGAAAAATTCATAGCACAAATCCTGGTGTGGAAAGAGTGGATTATTCATGTTTCCTACTTAAAAAAAGGAAAAGCCATGTATAAATATTTAATTTGCAAGATTTAAGCTGGCACCCAGATGGTATAGTAGTTAGGGGAGCCGACTGCAATACCTAAGGGCACGGGCTTGAATCCTGAAGAAGGCATGGATGTAACTGTTCATCCCTTTATAGGAGGCAAAGGTTGCCCACCTATTAGGTGCCTTCATAATAAAGTGACCACCACTTCTGGCCTTAGTTGTGGGCAATCTGAATTCGACCCAGGGTGGATAAAAAAAAACTAAGCTGTAATTTAAAGACAAATTGTTAATGCATAAAATTTACTTAGCAATAGAAAACAATAGATACATTTAACGGTATAGTGGTTAAGGGAGCCAACTGTGATACTAAAGGGCATGGGTTTGAATCTTGGAAATGGCATGGATGTAACTGTTCATCCCTTCATAGGAGGTAAAGGTGGCACACCTATTAGGTGCCTCCATAATAAAGTGACCACCACTTCTGGCCTTAGTTGTGGCCAAGCCGAAGTCGACTAAGGACCCACCATTGGGGTAAAAAAAAAAAAAAAAAAAAAAAACTAAGCTAAAATTGTGAAAGTTTTGTAATGTTTATTCATCAATAGAAAACATTAGATATATTTAATTGTAGTATTGTTATTTGAATTTATCAAATGCTAGGAGATTTTTAATGTTAAGAGAAGGATTATTTTGAATCTCATTGCATTTTACAAATGTGTGTAAGTTTCCATTTAATAGTTTAAAGGTGGAAAATGTTTTCTTCACTTAATTGTAAAACTATTCTTTCTATTACGCCAGAGCATTATTTCAACACAAAAATATATGTTTTCACCTTTATAAATTATTTACACACATGGATTGCAAAGAGAACAGTTTTTAAATTTGCTTTCCTTAGAGAAATAAAATCAGTATTACTTGCACTCCTAATAGCATTATTTATAGTCCTTCCTCATGATATTATCTGCAGTCCTATGTTAATAAAGCAATGAGTGATTTGAATATATAGGAATTTTTATGGTAGTTATAATAACAAGTACTGTTTTTATTGAGAAGTGCAATAATTATCAGAAATAACGTTTTTATTAGAAGCATATGCTTAGTTCATAGCAGAGTAACTGCAATCAGTGTGTCATTTTACCATGCATAATACTGAAGATTAATGCAAGATTTGAAGTAGGATTTTTAGACAAAAACTTTAGCACTAAAATCTGCCCTTGAATTTATTAAATTTGAAGAATTTGCTCTAAGTGGTTTAATTTTTTAAAAACTAAAATTAAAATAATTTCAACTAAAATTTACTAATTGAAAACAAAAAATGTCATTGCAAAATTTAAAATTAGGCAAAAAAGAGCAACCTTAGATAGATTTTGAATGTAAAAACTCCATCAGTTTCAAAGGCAAAGAAACTTATGTAATTCTTCTCTAGAAGCAAAGTTTTTTGCAAAATTGCCTAGCTTTTTTGTAATTTTATTACGTATCTAAATGCCTAATTTTAATTATTTTTTGCCGAATTTTAAAAACTGAGTATTCTTATTAGGAGTACTCACTAATAAATGGAATTTGTACTAAGTAATTATGGGAAAACTGATTCTTAAGCAGAATTTAAAAACTACTTTTGCTGAGTTTTGGTTATTCAATGAAGTCTGCAATGTCAAGAGCACTTAAATTTCACCTGTTAAAGAGGCTGCTATTGAATGCTACCGACCCATAATCTTCATTGCTGTCATTCCTTGCTGCAGTGTTAATAGTGGAAACAGGATTTTTTCCTCCTTGTGAGTTTGTAGAGAAACTCACAGTTCCCGGTGGCATGATTCCACGGTGCTTCTTTAACTTTCCTGTTTTCAGCAGGTAAAACCAGGCGTTTCTTGCTTCTGGGTACAAAAGGCACCTCACCAAAAATATTAGAAAACCTTGCAGAGAGTTGGAAATGCAAAAGAAGTACTGGAAAATTATTTTTACATGACCAAATGCCATCGTTCCAAATACCCAAGTCACTCCAAGAAGAACCATGACTGTGAAAGCTCCACGAACTTGGGCTGCTGTAACCACTTGATGATTATTTGATGTCTTTGTAGTTAACCGTGGTGTAAATATAACCCGCGAGACGAGTATGAAAACTGTAAAATTGACTGCCAGTAGAATACAAGAGGGGGCCAGAAATGCACAATAATAAATCCATGGGTTTCGAGGAGACAGCATACAACTGAAAAGGAAAAAAGTAACATTTTTTATTGTTTGCAATCTTAATGCTGTATATAAAGAAAGAAAAGAACTAAATAAATGAAAGAGGAAGCATTGTTCATTTCACTAGGTACTAACATTAGAAGCTTTTTTGATTCTGTAAGAATATATAAATTATCTCCCTCAAAATTCATGTAGTGATAAAGTACAATCTCATACAATAACTGCTAAGGATGAGCTAGTAAGTAATTCTAATTACATAAGGTAGGAAATGAAAAAAGGTACAAATGCTGAGGGAGAAAGCGAGCTAATTGCTCTACAGCGCTTCTTTGACCTCTGTAGGTCTATGCCCTAATTTTTAATTGTTAAATGTGGTATTTTCAATAGTTTCTGAGATCTTCGTTTTGAATGAACTGCAACAAATCAAAAGTTATTTATAATCTGTGTAAGGATACGGTTTTACACAACTTCAACCTTAAAACTTGTTTTGAAACAAAAAGCCCAGACAGGATATGCTTATCTGAAAATAGGATGCAATGGTCTTAAAAATGAACAACATTTTATCTTTCAATTATATTGTATTTTGAAAAATTAGAACACAGAGCTTAAAATTAGGCAACAGAAATTTCTAAATAGTACGTAGACGTGAGTGATTCAACAGTACAGGATAATAAACATACTGGGTACCAGAACTTTACACTTGAGCAAAGGTGGCAAACACTTTTAACCAGGGGCCAAAAGTGTCTTTTTTTAGTGTATGAGACAATGGTGCTTGTATGATGATCTTTTGATGTGCTGGTTGCCAGGACATGATAGAGATTTCGTGCAGTAGAAATGTTTTAGACTAATTAAAATTTAAAATAGTATTTTATACATTTCATTTCCTATTTTTCATTTTCAAATAAGCCGCAGACAGTGAGCTGAGGGTTACGACGACCCTGCTTGCGGACCAGCCAATGAAATATAAAATGTACACGTAAATTTTGAGGAACATGAAACAAAATAATAATAATATTAATAAAAGTCATTGATAATTAATCAATTTTTTAAATAAATTTACAGCTTTGCATACATTTTTATTACTATATTATAAAAACAGTTATTAAGTAATATGTACTTTATATGAGACGTAATCTCGAATGTTCGTTTGTGATTATTTTTTCCATGTTAGGTTTCAATTCACTCGTAGCCATCCTTAGTCACGAATGTAAATTTTCTTGAGTAATTTGGGATGCATATTTATTTTTCATGTATTTCACTAACAAAAATGATCTTTCAGATAAATTTGTTGATCCAAAGAAAACTGAATTTTATTTACCTAATTCAGAGAATTTCTGAATTTATCAGCATTTATGGGATCGTAAGAAACCCTAGCTTGGATGAAACTTTTCCTTTAACAAATAATACAACTGCAAATCAGTCAGTTCAAACTGAATCTGAATTGGAAAATCCTGCACATTAAAATTAAGTGGCATGTTTCTTAATGACAAATGTTATTTCAGTTTTTTTAAAGTCTTTAAATCTTCTGCGAAATCAACTTGTGTGCCATTTTTCTTTCCATACTTAAAAAATAATATCTCGATTTTTCTTGTTGTAACTATAATGTTGGAAAGTGATTTAACTATTTCTCCTTTAAACTTTCAACAAATAGAATTTTTTCACAAACATCCTGATTTTTGAGTACATGAATATTAAAAGTATTATTTTCTTGCTTGCAGGTCAATGTTTAGTTCACTCAAATAAATTAATATTTTATCTGAAAAGGAGAATAATTTAGCCATTCCTCATTATGCAATTCAGGAAAGTCATTCATTTTTCTTTAATCGACAAGAAAATTACGATTTCATTAAACAATTAAATCTCTTCAAAACCTCTCCGACGCTAAGGCATCTATCTCATGCCTGTAAATTACGCCATTTTGTAAAATTCACTTCCAATATTTTTTAGGAATTCAATAAACTGCTAATAATTTAGGGCTCATCCTTGGAAGAAATTCGCTACTTTTGTTACAAAATTAATGTCATGACCCAGGTTTAAAACTTTTTTAAAAAGCCGATAGTTACCGATCACCTATATTTTAAAATTGTTCCGAAAGTATTAGAGAAACACTGGTAGTTAATAGTTTCAACTAGTACAGAAACACTGGTAGTTCAACCTAGATACAGTTCAAAGTGACTGGCTATAGTATAGCTATATGATGCTTTCAAGATTTTCCTCATGGTGTGACAGACTTCGAACACTTAGACAGATTACTAACCAGTTATATACATCATGTGAGGGATTGTTGGGATATATATATCAAAGTATTTATATTGTCAAGCAAGGCCAGAGTTGCATCTTACATTTGTAATTGTTTTATTACAGTCCACTACTGAAAGAAAAATCGGGTTAATTTTTGAAAAAAATTTCCAAGAGAAAAAATAAGTCTCTAGCTCAAGGCCAGGAATTTTGAAGCACTTATAAAGGTAGTCAGCAGGTATTTTTAGTAGGCATAGCTGTGTCATCTGGGCAATTTAAATGTGATTCTGTGCATCTCTGTGTCATCTGTATCTTACTAGTTTTTAACCTTAGGGTTACTTGTAAGACCGGATTGGCTTCTGGAAATCTAAATGTCCAGAAGTTTGATATTATTCAGAATTTCAGATTGATTAAATTCTTATCACATATAATTTTTAAAAATTTTTGGAGTTTTGCTATTACTAGAACCAGACGTTCCTGTTTTAAATTTATATTATTCATATTCCTTGATTACAGTTAATAATTGACTTGAAACACTTTCTTATCTTGCAAGATGCAAAGATGTAGGCTTATTTTTGCTTAGTTTCTATGACCCATGAGAAGTTAGTAAGAATTTAAATTTATGCACCCATGTCTCCTTTTATTGAGTTGTTAAGCTCATGGTGATAACTCATTGATGAGATACTGATACTGTGCTTGAGATAAGTAGAAAGCAATATTCTATATAACATAATAGATGTAATCATCTTTTGCATCATTATCTCTGCAGGTTTGCTAGTTTCCAATGGTATTTTACAGAATATTTTTATTAATGCTGTCATAATTGAGACTTTTGGTACAAGTAGACAGATAACTAGTTTAATTTTGTTAGAATACAGATGTTTTTTAAAATGCACAATCATTTTCAATTTTTAAAGCGAAGCTGTTGTTCTAGACAATCCACTAAACTTCAGTTCCCTTGATTTCGTTTAGGCTTTCAAGAAGAGAATTTTTTAGAATTTCTTTGCTTGCAGAGCATGTTATTATTATTGGAAAAGTAATCAATAAGCTTAAATTTTAGAAAAGCTTTGCCTGTTGATCCTCTGTTGAGATTTTAATACTTGAATTTCTAGGTTTAATTGCTTTTTCAAAAATAAATTTCTATAATGTAATAGTTTGCATGTCATATTAATATAGCTAGTAGCACATCTATGACAAAAATGACTTAAAATTTGTAACGAATGCCTTTAGAGCTCTGGTAGATGAAATCATCCAAAGTCTAATATGAAACATGAAAATAAATGCACATGATACAGACATTAAGATAAATGTGCATTGGATTATAATACAATAAGATCTTTACAAGCGAAGAAACATCCATATGAACCATTTTCATATTTTCTCAGCATGGAAAAATTAATAATAGCACAATGTTGTTCCGCAGTAGCACAGTGCTAACATTATGAAATGCAAAGACAAATGCAATGTCTAATGATACAGTTTTGCATGTATGATATGTTAGTCAACAATTCGCTCACCCTGCGTAAGATCTTATTTTTAAATGAAATTAAAATAATTAAGTTGGTACTATTTTGTCTGAAGGAAGGAGATAACTGGGACTGTACGCATCTTGTCTAGAGTTGTAATAAGATTTATTGCTTCTAAAATTGAAAACTCGTGGCATTATCCAATAATGCGTAATTAAACATATAATTGCAAGTGTAGTGTCACCGCCAAATTCTTTTCCACTTACTGATTTAGCGATGCAACAACAACTGAAGTATGTTCGAGTTGTTCTGTCGGTAGCGTTTCTTGCAGAAAAATAGTATAGGGGAATGCTTTTAGCTAAAAAAAATTGGAATTCGTTAATTTCACAAGACAAGTCATTAAAATTAACCAAGAGGATAAAGAAGATGGCAGTGATCTAATTATGAAATGGATCAAAAGTTAGTTTTCTCTTCAAAGAAACACAAATAAAGCACATTTTATCTACTACATTAGATGTTTCAAATAGATTTAAAATCACACTTACAATTCTAAATCATCATAGTATGAATCAAGACCAAAAGAAGCTGTTAAAGCTACTATTATGAGTGGTCCACCTGAAAATTTAAAACAAATTTTAAGCATTTATTTATGTTCATTATTTCGTACATAAGTTAATTAAATAATAAGCTTTGCATATTAACGAAAATACCTTCTGTATTACTTTTTAGTTTTTGCTTTTCACTGCTTATACACTGAAGAACCAAAAGACAATAACAACTTATCATCCATAGCCTATAATCATAACCAAGTTTAAAATCTAATAATCTGCAGTCACTTTTGATTTAAATAAAGTAGAAATGAGTACCGCTTATTTTAATTTCTATATAAAGTCATGGGCAATCATATTGATGTACAAAAATAGAATCATGCAGTTAAACTAAAATTTTACTGCCATAATAATACAGATGGATGTTACACTTAATTTCAAAAGCTGCAGAACATTTACAAAGAGTTTTATAGTTAGCAGGCTTGTAAGCTTCAGTAATACCTCAGGCTGCGTAGTTTCAATGGTATATCCTGCAGTTTATCCATAAATGATGTGGTTATTCATACTTTTTTGTTTTTCAAAATTAAGGTAAACAAAGTTCTTTTTTAATCCAAAGTATATATTTTTTCATAGTTTGCTAGATTTTAACACTAGTTACGATGGTTTTTGTTCCATTAGAATTCCACTTTTGATAAAACTTCACAGGGAATCAAAATTACATTTGTAGTTACTATTTTAAAATATTTAAACTAAGGCCTAGTTAAATTTCACTTTATTTATTTATTTTTTTTTTTTTCACTACCCATGAAAGCAAAAAATTTTATTAAATATATCTAGTAACAGAAGCATCCAATAGTCCATGTACAATTTTGCTTAGTATATCTCAAAAAATGGACGAAAATATAGAGCAAAAATATCAATATTTAAAAATGTAGCAGCAAATTTTTAAACATTTTATTTAAATAAGCAAATAATAACAATTTCTTCAATTTTCACTAAAACTTTGAAAATGCAAAAAAGTGTTGGAAGTGTACTCTGTCCTTTTCAGTGAGGGGAAATGTGTCTTGTATAGTGAGGTTGATAACTCGATAATTATCCGATTTGCAAAATTATGCAGTATTCTCCTTAAGAGCAGGGTTACCTTCTTGAAGAATTAAGGAAACTGATTGTAATTCACAATATGTATTGAGAACTCAAAGTCTCCCATTCAGGTACACCTAAAATTAGTTTCACTCATGAAATTGAACCACGCATTTCGAAACTCAGAATTTGCACTGCATACTTAACTTTTGGAAAGCAATGTATCTGTCTATATGACGAGGGTTATGATCAGAGTAATGAAATTTATAAGCCTTTGCTATTAAATTTTCCTTAGCTATATTATACCATAGTTTTAGGTTCCACTGATTTGGAGTTCAAATGTTCTTTGAAAGAACGGGATGAATTATTTTTCCGTTAATGAACTGATAAAATGTTTTCCCCTTCCATACTCAATTTTCAAAACCACCTGATGAGATAAACAAAAGAATTTTGAATTTTTTGCTTTTCCAATGTGTGCACAGACATTTTATGAAATGCTGTAGTTCAATTCTCGAAGATTACGGTTTACAGCTGTTTGAAAAATATGAGGCTGTTAATATTCTCTGTATCATTTCCTGATAACCTGTTTCTAAGATTTAAATATATTTTCAGAATAAATATAACCCTTTTTGAAAGATGCCAGAAGACAAATTCTCTGTAATCTATGAGTAAAAATTTTCAAATAATTCTTACCCCAAGCAAAGAAGCATCTTTTAAGAAGGAAATGTGTCTCTGATGAGGCGAAAACATGAACCAGAAGTTGGTACATATTTATAGCTTCAACGCACATCCACGTAAGAGAAGTCAGGACGAAGTAATGAAGAAACAAACCCACAGCAGCACACGCATTTCCGCCATTTGCAGGCTCAGCTGCTCCAGTCAAAAATATCGCATTCATCATAAGCAAAGAGAAACACAAGTTCAACAAAATCTTTCCCGGGTGGTCTCTGTTCAAGCACCTGAAATTTGCATTAAGTATTAAATTTCTGAACTGAAAACTATAGCATGCTCTAAAAGGGAATAAAATTTGATTAAGAATGAAATTTATGAAAATGAGTGCAAAGTGTGGAAAATACTTTTTTCAGCTTTTGCCACTACCTGTTTTTATAGCATCTGGAATATACAATATCGGACGCATTTTCGTATTAACATGTGTATGCTAATATGAAATATGTATTCTTGTTTGAGCTCTTTTTCTCACATATTTGAATATACTGAAGAAGGGGTATTCAGATGGATTGTATGCATATTGTTCCTGAAATTATAGATAAACAGCAAACTCTGAAAGTGGAATAATTAGGAGTATTCACATTTACATTGATGGTTAAAAGGCAAGCTTGCGACCTGCGCTGGAGAGTTAATCAAAAACTTTGTTCAGTATAAGCCAATGGGTAGAAAACAAGAGGTTCTGAGCACAAGTCGCAAACCATTCCTGGATAGAAGAAAGCGGGTAGAATTGGCAGTCAGATAGGCAGTGATGCATTAAGCATAATCTGATACTGATGATGATGCCTTAAGAATAACAGGCTGCACATTATATATTTATACTTCTTAGATATGCAAAGGGCTTTCTGCTACAAATAGGCTTAAATAATTCTGTTTCACTATTAATTAATACTACATTATTAACTATTCATAATAAGGTTGCATCATGCATATAAGAGAGATTAGTTATGAAATAGCATTATTGCTTAGGATTAAGCAAACTGATAATGCATTGAGTTTGGAAAATATGACTGTTTGTTAAGTGAGGATTGCTCAGAAGTAGAGAAATTTGAAGACAAATATTTTGCTATTAAAGCACTTTAGCTATAAACATAAGATACATCTACAAGAAGTTTTTGCACTACTTAAAAATTGATCTAAAGCTTCCGGGATTAAATACCAATAACCTATTATCTCGAAACTATCAAGACCGGCCTTCATTTAAGGATTTGTTTGTATCATCAATTCATGATAACAAATCACTACCTAATTTTAAATCTTGTAAATAAATAAATTATAAAAATTTTTTTATCTTAGAGGTGTGCTGCTTGAAGATGCAGTGAAAATAGTTAAGCACATTCCTGTTTCAGAAATTACATAGGAAAATCCTTGAAATTAGCTGTCTAAGAGGTATTATGACAAAAAAACAAATAGTCATTTAACAGTTAAATACCTTCTTAGACCAGCAATAATTAATAATAAATAATAATTCATAATAAGACAACAATAATTCAAGCCAATCTTTTAAGTTAAGGTAGCTGGCTGATATTTCTAATGAGGTAATTTGTGTTTTGGATTCGCATATATTTATAAAATAGATAAGTGGCTAATTTTTATTTTCTTACAAAAGGCTGACCCTGATATTCATTATTTATATTCTCAAAAAGTAAATGGTGACTTTCTACATCTGATAGTTTCCTGAAAATTTTAATTAATATATGTGCTTGATTATAAATTTGTAATTTTGAACACAAAAAGAGAACTTAACCAGAGTGTTTCTAAAATTGTTTCTAGGTCAAGTGTAATGGGAATCGAAGCTTTGAATCTGCTTTTTATCAGTGAAAAAAAAAAGTAAAATATAAATTGTGGGCTAGTACTTACTCCTTGAACAAATGTGCAAAATTTAAGGAATTATCTGTAGTATCAGAAACATAGTGAAAAATATACTTTGTGATTTAACTGCTTTAGTGATAATCATTATATTGGTGTTACGCTTTTTAAATTTAATTGCTATTTGCTGTCGAAAACATAATACATTACTTCATGAGAATACTAAATCAGCTTTGGTTCATAAAGGATCAAAGGAATATCTCAAATTTTAGTGATTTTAACTCTAATAAAGCATGTTATTGTGCTGAAAAGAAACAGAAAGTAGCATTGCTTCCCATATCAATCATTCTAATGTTATATTTACTTGGAAAAAAGCATAGTTATTCTGTTCTCCTGGATAGTGGTTTCGAATCTGATTTTATTTTGGGGTCTTGTGCATAAAGGTTGGCGCTGAAAAGAATTAATATCCGATTTACTGTTAAGGGTTTAGCATTCAGACATTCTAGTACTACTAAAAGGCATGGTCAAACTAAACTGTCCGTGACTTCAAAATTCAGTTCTAAGAGGGAATTTGCAATTGAAGCTTACTTGTTAAATAAACTGACATCTCCCCCTTCCATCCAGTAAAAATGATTGTAATGCTGTGCTATTCATAGATTCTATTCTTTTAGCTGATCCTCAGTTCGATAAGAGAAAGAATTCCTTTTCGTTCTAGATGTCGGAAATGAATTGAAAGATTCAATAACGACATAAAATACGTATTTCGATTTCATTCCTTCAGGAAATAATGAAAATGCATTTTATGGTAATGAGGCGGCAGTTACATTACATAGCCTTTATGCTGAGTTAAACATTAATTTCTTCAAAGAGCTGCAGTGACTAACAGAAAGGAATTTCAAAGCACTAATTACCAGGTGGAATTCTGACTACAGATTCGCTTCTATTTCGAGGCTCCATTGAAAACCTGGGAGATAAAGAAGAAGCGGTGATTTCACGTTTACTTGCCACACAGCGCAAATTTAAGCAAAATCTTAGCTCGGAGAAAGGTTGAAAAGAATTATGTCTGAATATGAAGACTGAGTCATATGAGTCTAGTTAAACGACAAACAAGTGTACCTGAAAGTACGTATTGTCTCTTCCTTATTATTCTGTGCTTGAACCAGATAGCGCTGCTACAAAATTGTGTATAATGTCCGATGTCTTGTGTAAGTCTACCAGGAGTAAATCTGGATTTTATATTATTCGTAGGTCCGAGTATTCAGTGTGATGTAGTTTTGATATTTACAAGTTTCAGAAGACGTGCTGTAGATGCTATGACATTGCCAAAATGTACAGGCATATTCTTGTACCTGGAGAAGATAAAAACTTCCAAAGAATTGTTTGGCATAACAGCTCAAAGGAAAGTGTACGAGGGTATCGATTAAACACGTAACTGATGCTGTGGTTCCTTCTTCATTCCTAGCAAACAAGATGATTGAAAAAATAGCAACAGGGCTTTGAAAATGGACTTGTTGCGTATCCCAAGGATAATACAAAACTGCTGAAGAGACTGATATTTCTTTGAAAGTTATCCGATGTACTGGAAGCTAGAGGTTTTAAACTAAGAGAAGAGTCTATCGATTGCCTTTATTTGAGCCAATGATTTTTCGAAACTCTAAAACTGGTTCATCCGACTTGCAACTTATGCTTAATAAAAGTTCTAAGGTATTGGGATTACACTGGGATTCAGAATCAGATGCATTTGTATGTAAGACTTCCTTGACTGCAGAAACAAAATCTTACAAAGCGTAAAAGGTTATCGCAATAATCCAAGACTTTTAAAACGTCTGGGGGGGGATTTCTATCACCGGGCTACGATAGGTGTGGAGATCACGTATCAACAGCTTTGGATTTCTAATACTGATTGAGATGATTCGATTCCTAACAGTATTGCTGAAAAGCGGATTTAGCTTCAAAGAAAATTTCAAGCTGATGAATCTTTTAAAACTGCTAGATGTATTAACGAAGAGAACATGCAGTTAAATGCATCAGTTTGAGATGCTTCAGATATTGCATATGCAACAGCGGAACGGCAAGAGCTTGAAGATGAGGTCAGAGTAAATAATAGTATCTTAGCTAAGAAAACCAGGACTGCTCCTCTTAAGCCCTTATCTGTTACTAGATTGGTGCTAAGAGCAGCTCGTTTACTGTCAAAGCATATTAGTTCCTTCCAGAATATTTCGAATAACTTAAATTTGAAATCTTAGCAAGGACTGATTCTAATGTTGTAATAGCATTGCTTATACAGTCTATGGGTTCTTTTGGGTAGCATAAACTGTAGACGCTATGTAGAAGACGAAGTAGCGAATATTCGCTATGTCTCTTGAGACATACTGTAGAGGAAAGGTTTAAAATAACCTTTTTATTTAAAACTAAATTAAAACAAATGCACGCACTTGGTGCTCACAAATCACCACCACTTGTGGCTAACGTAAATTTAACAGAAAATAAGAATGTAACAAATCACAAATAAGTTAAGATGTCTAACGACTGGTTCCTTAGCTTAACTAAACGCTAAATCGTCTGCACACGGCAAAGTCGAGCTTAGAAATATCTGTAAAAGCTGAAAGGTGTCTCAAACAACGAGATAGTATACTGGTAGAGAGCGTATTGCAACCTTCAACCTGTTCCAACATTAGTGTCACGTGACTGCTGCGCGAAATCCGAAAGTCTGGAAATACTTTACATTGCTTTCTATGGGACGAAAGACTGCTGCTCTGCTTGGTCACATAAAATTTAAGTAAAAATGGTTATTCGCTGCAGCGCCTACGGATTAAAAGAAAGTTTCGTGAAAGGAGGACTTGTAACCTTTCATAGGTAGTTAAAACTGCATGATTTATTATTTTATTTTCAGTATTTTTTTGTCATTTTACTATCTCTGTTGGATTGGTTGGAAGTTTCAGCCATATTGTATAAGAAAATTGCCGCCGTATATGACATTTTGAGCATGTATTATTAGCATCAAATGTATTAAATACTGTGACACTATTTACTGGAATCACCCTTTACAAATAATTGAATTTTATATGTTTTTTTTCCGTGTATTCCGTTGAAATAGAAAGCTGCGCCAATTGGCGTTAACCTTTTTTCGCTAAGTCGTACGCATTTTGATTTCATAAACAATTACTGCCTGCGATAAAAAAAAAAGAAAAATGCTATTATTAGCATTAAATTATTGAGAAAAGATTGTGCGATATATTTACTTGTTAAAAAAAAAAAGCTGAAGATCTTGATTCATGCAACATTGAACATAACAGTTTAAACAGCATTATTTTAAAAAATCAGATTACTTTTATAAGCTCATGCTTTATCATTATTTTCTTCTATAAAATCAATTAAATAAAAAATATCTGGATTATAATTCTGTCTCTCATCTACGATGCTG